CAATGACCAAATTATTTATAATTTGATTTTTATTATTCTTCTAGCTACATAAATAAAAACTAAGAATAATTTTGTTTATACCCTATCTAGAGTGAAAAAATAAGAAAAATGACAACTAATTGTCTCAAAATAAATCAATATTTTAAAATATTAATGATAGAGTGACTAATTAACAAATGTATGAGTGAAAATGAAAATCTTGTTTTTAAGTTGAAATAAATCACATCAGGTATTTCCTTTAAGAATAAACAAAACAAAAAAATGAATATCATAAAGAGAAGTATATCTCTCTGTTTTTAGTTAATTTTACCCTTTCTTTTGTTTAAATATTAAATGTTATAATTGTACACCAGCAAAAAAATTTGGGTGCAATTCACAGTATTGGAAATGTCAATTAACAAGTAACAATTCGTATGTAATCGGTCTGACGATATGAAAGTCGTTATGTATTTTCTATAATGTTACTGGTAGATAGCTACTGCGTTAGATACAATTAAACGATGTGTTCTTATCATTATTCATAATTAAATTATAATGTCGTTACAATAAACACAAGATGCGAAATAGTATGAAGTGAACATGTGCATATGTGACAGCGATAAGAATGCGAGTGTAGTTCAATTGATTGTCCTATTTATGGTGGACAGTGTGAAAACAAAAATTAATATATACATATATGTATGTGGTGGCTCTACATGGCCTATTATATTCATTAGATCGAAATTATTATAGTCGATAATTATAGTACCCAAATTTTCTATAATTTTCATTTGGCTGTATTGACTATTTATTTCATGAATCTACATGCAATTTTACCCATCATACAATAGAACTCCCATTATAAGTTTAGAATTCGATGATTCGTGATATAATATGTAAACCCATCTTCTTTATTAAAAAAACACACAAAAATTACACAAGTATATTTTACTAATTGAAACATTTCATTCTTATTTAAAAAAAAAAATCATTTCAGTCACTTTCTTTATCACAATATTTTCCCGCCCATTTCACATTAACGGTGCACTTCGAACAGCTTCAAAGAATGTTTTTAATTACATTGATTTGAATATTGGCGCGATGCACGCTACCGACAGAGATACCAACTGTAAATACAACACAAACGTTGCGTCATATTGCGCACTGTGTCTCGAGTCGTGTGTCGCGAATCTCGTTTTCGAAAGAGCACGCACACACATGCCGCGTCGTGAAATCAAATCATCGGCCCGGGAAACAAGAGTGGATAAATCACGAGCGATAATTCACGGTGTTCGTCAGATGCGATCGGTTTTGGCGCGTGTGGTTGCGTACGTGTCGCGTGACTGTCGATTCACGTATCTGTGCGCGCTCGGTAGGTCAAAATGGCGTGAACCGACCGTGCGATTTTAGGTTATCTTCGCTCGTGGCAAATCAGCGCGGGTACAGAAACAAAGACGCGCGCCTCACCACCAGTGGAATCGTTTCTCTTGTGTGCTCACCACGATCCTCCACGTGCGTTTTTGGGTCCGAGTTACATGAGTTATGAGGACGGAATGCCCGCAGGCGGTAACAGTCGTTTCCGCGGTTACCCAGCGCGGATGTCCGAGCGACAACAGCTTGCGCTTCTTCTTCAAATGACCTCACAGGAAATAGTATCAGGTGAGAACAGCAAGAAGACACTTCGTTGAAAATAAACACGCGCACAGTTTCGCGGACTTCGACGGAAGAACACGTAGTCAGCGATCAAACTGCTTCGTGTTATCTACACGTATGCCTTTATCGTGAGTGGTTTTAGTGTGTATAGGGAGTGTTATTTATAACATGTTTACACATATTCATGTGCAGCTGACAATAAAATTCACTACAATGTAACTTCATGCTATATTGTACATAGGTTAGTCGAAGAATTTGCTTGACAACCGGATTTCTCGTTTGATCGCGAGCTTATGTGTTTATTTCTCTACTAGTACACGAACTGGTAACACTCGCACGAACTACGCAGTATTCGTGCCCACCCGATAGGCACATAGTTTCCCGCTGTATGCGCTCATTTTATCGAAACAAGCTGCAACGCGAGACCGAGTCTAGTTACTTCACGTGAACGAGTTTTGCCCGCCTGTATTCTCCGTTCAGTCCTGCCAACTACGTAACTTCGTGACAGTCGACCCGTTTCCCGCGGTACTGCCGCGGCGAATAGCGCCTCCTGACTTTTGACAAAGAACAGAGAGGGAAGGGGCTATGTTAATGTAATTGACGTGGGTTCCCGCCACGAGAGAATTGACTTGGCAGCGGCACCGATTGCCGGTAACTTGTTGCAACTACAATTTGCACTAACAGGCGTTAATACTATCGTGTATTCATGTATCCGTAGTTTATTAATCACACTGTTCTATATTCGGTATTATTCACACGTGTACGTATCTGAACTTCGTCATATTTATCTGGATAATTTAAAATACAAGTATAACATGGAAAACGTACTCTATGATAGCGTGCCCCTAATTTGATGTTTCTTACTTTTTTGGAAAGATACCAGTAGGATATTTTAAAAAAACATATATATATATATATGTATGTATGTATATGCATATACACATTAAGAAATAGTCATTTGATAATTTTTTTATGAATAAATGATAATGTTAAGGAGATACGATATTTTTTTTTAGTCAATTACGAGTTTTAGGTTGTAATACTGTTATGTTTTGGTTTGGAATAATTCAATGAATGATTAACTCGTGGGAGATTTATCTGATTTATTTGTTTTCAGGCGGAAACAGAACAGAAAACACAACTACATCAAACACCACCCCAAGGTCGTCGACATTACAGCAGCGAGGGTCAAAAGGCCGCTGGACTAGCAAAAATGGGGAATCGGCAGTGCAAGCCTCTATCAATCGCAAAGAAGATTTTCGAGTGCGACAGATGCTCGTGAATGGATACGATCTCAACGCAA